CCCGGAGCCTGTATTGGATTCTGTGCTCCCTCTCTCTCTGACCCTCCCTCCTCTCACATTCTGTCTCTGTCTCTCTCTCTCTGAATAATAAATTAACATTAAAAAAATGTTTTTTAAGGAAACACGGTAAAGAGTTGTAACTACTTACTTCTAGGGAGATGGATGGGGAGGAATTGACACTTGAGATTTTCTACCTTGAATATTCTTCTTTGATTATTTTTAATGTTAATTTGATAAGTATATATTCAGATTATTTTCATTTATATTACCTTTGAAGTATACATTTTTTTAATACATGGCAGGTCACCATAGTGCTATCCTCATTAAGAAAACAACAACAATGCAAAGATAAAAAAACACTGTTACATTGCCTACAGTTCCTTTTCCAATTGGAAAGTCCATTTCTGAGCCTTATCTTTTTTCCTCTTCCTTGCTTTAAAGAAATGTTTAATTCTTAAACATTAAAACTAATTCACAGTCAAAACTATTTATTTACTTACTTATTTCCCTTCAGGTTTATTATCACTCAGTCTACGGCCAGCATCAAATCGCAGGAATCTCACATTACCTTGACTTGATGTCCCGGTGTTCTAAACTTGTTTTCGTATTTCTGTCAGAGAAATCTGTGTTGGTTTCATCGCTATCCTTCTATCCAGAGTCTTTGTCCATGATCTTCCTCTCTTTTTCCTTTGTGATTTAAGTTCCCATCCCTGGGCGTCACTCTCTGCATAAAGACTTTCTATATTAAAAAAAAAAAAATCAGCATTATAAATATATGTTCTGCATTGGTCTCTTGTCACCATAAATAGTATGTTATAAGTTCTCCACATCCCAAGCAGCACTCTGTGCATAAAAAGTAATAGCCATGAATATAAAATCTGAGTAAACTATTAAAGCAATTCTTATTGAAATGCGGGTCAAGGACACTTCTGTGACTTGTATTCAAAGGTAATTTCCCCAATCTTGATTAGTCACATGGAGACCTTCTAATAATATTGTTTGTTTTCTTCACAACAAGAAAACAAATGTACTTATTCAAAATATCTTAATTTGTCTTTTTCTACAATTCAGTGAATCATACAATTGACTTTTTCTGTATATATACTTAATAATCTGCACACGCGTTCACTCGCACAAACCGAAGAAACCCACAGAACATTAGGTACAAAATAGACTTTCAAAAGTTTAATTTCCAAGTACACATGTTATTTTATTTACATTATGAGACACTTTTTATTTCACTTGACTGAATTTCTTAAAAATCTATTGACTAGCTAGTAGGATTATCAAAGCATAATTTTTTAAATCATGTTCCCGAATGTAAACACTTACAGGAAATGAAAATTCATTTCTCTATCCTTCAAGGTCTTCTAGCTGGACTAAGAAGTAAATTTGTATAAGGGGCACCTGGGTGGCTCAATTGGTTAAGCATTTGACTTCAGCTCGCCTCATGATCCCATGGTTCCTGAATTCTATCTCTGCTTAGGGCTCCCTGCTGTCAGTGCACAGAGGGCTTCAGGTCCTTTGTTCTTCTAGCTCTCCACCCCTCCCTCACCCCCTCAAAAATAAATAAACGTTAAAAAAAGAATTAAGTTTTCCCAAGATAGGTTAACAGGAGGGGGAAAAAAAAAAAAAAACAGTTTTTATCACCTGTGCACTGAGGTCCAACAATGAATCTCTAGATCTAGAGAAACGACCAAAGCCGGCAGTTTTTATACTTTTTTTGACGAAGAGACAAAAAAATCTGTGACACATTGACAGAACAAAGAAAACTTAACTTGGGGAGCTCCAATTACTAAGGAATTTGAAACAAAATCTGGTCCGTGGTAGTAAATTAGTAAAAAATAACAAGGATTATTTATATAGCCTGCTTGACTCTGAATATACTAGTATCTCTGGTGATTTCCCATGAGACACTGATTTCCTGCTTTCAGAGGGCAGAGGGGCATCTGAGTGTCCTTCTTGCACAGGCTGTTTCTTAAGTAACTTTTATTTTAAATAGTCAATATGCCACTGTGTCACAGTTGGGGACAGCCTGCCTTTGACCCCTACACATTGAAAAAAGGGATATGAATTTCTGGCTCGAAATAGTGCAGCGGTCCACATTTGATCCAGAAACGATACACAAATTTAGTTTCAACACAACAGATGTTAAGGAAACAGAAAACATGTTGACTTGAGGAAAATAAATCCTGTCACAATCAGAAATAGTGCCAGCGAAAACTAAAAGATAAGTTAGATAGGAACAGTAGCTACATAATTATTTATTGCAACTTTCCTAGCCCTACCCATGTGGTACTGGGATAGGGTATTGTTTTTATAAATATTCAGAATATCGTCGTTCTGAAGAACTGACACTAGAGCCTGCAAGGCAATATCTTTGTTCTTGTTACTGAAGGTTCTAATCAGTTGAAGACATGTCCTGGGCTATTGACTAACTCAATTTTACATGCCATTTAGTTAGTTTGTTTGTTTGTTTTTTGTAGTAGTAGTATGGCTATTTTCAAGATTACTATTCAGAGAATGACTTTCCCACTGGTTCACTACCACGATTTTCCTATTTCGAGCAGATTTCTTTGATAAAGCGCACGGACTTAGGTGATAGCAAGACATCTTTGAGTGCTAGTGCTCCAACATCCTAAAGAACCATCAAAGAGCAGTGGATGATGCTCTAACCGATAATTATAACTTAAGAGGATAATAAAAAGTATTGGTGATTGGTGACAGTGAAGCACTCAGTCCTGGCAAAAGCCTTGGTGTCACATGACTAGTTTGCTAATATCTATGGCTGCTGTTCCCAAACTAGGTTTCAGAGACTCCTGGAACTGCGTTAAAGAGGAGGAGGGGAATGCTGCATCCACCTGGCTTTTTCAGACATCAACTTTTAGTTCAACGGTAAAAATATTAGAACTCTGTGGTTTTACAGAAAGTTGGAAAATACACTGCTAATTAGGTTTTTTAATAATAATTTTGGATGAACTAAACTCAATTCTTCTAGCCTTGTACTCAATTTCTGGTTTGAAAACAAAAGATAAGTGCCCAGTGAAACCTATTAACTGCTTGGCTTGCTTGAAATTTCCTGGATCCATCTGTCTCTACTATGATGGATAGTGGAAACCACATCCCTCGTTTCATAAACAGACCTTGAGTTAGCAGATGAAAATGAACATCCACATATCTCAACCCTTCCCAATGTATTACAATTAATAAAACTGTGCATGATTTTTGTTTTGGTAACCTTCTTTACTACTGAAATTGCCTACTAGGTTTTTTTTGAAAATATTATATTAATATTAATTTTCTTGAATTAATATTCTCAAGGTATTTTACATGCAAACTCAATTTTTAAAGCTTACGATAATTATTTCCTTTTTTGATAGTCACATTATCCCACTCTGTCAGTGGGAACTCTACATGTTTAAAACATATCTTGAGGTTTCTGCATGCCGATTCATGGAGGCAACACTCTCAAAGGACATCTAGATATTTTTAATGGAAACTAGTATTACTGATAAAAATATGGGCAGTAAAATTCATTGACTATCATTCCATAATACTGGTGCTGGGTAGGGTGGCCCACTCTAGGACACTGGGGTTACTTACAAAGCCAAAAATTATTTGTTTGTATTTTTAATGTAATGATTTCATATCAGTAATTCTCTTTTAAATTTAAGCATACAAAATATTGTACTCTCATTTACTTAATGTAAATTGCTAAATGATTTTTTCTATAATAGGTTTACTAAAACCTTTATGTCTTCAGTCTCTTGTAATTGTATACGCTTCTTTTTTATAACCCTTAGACAACTCACTGTTTACCATTCTATGGTCATTTTATTGACCTTGAGTTCTTTTAGTAAGACTCTTGCTTGCTGTCTAATTACAACTTACAATAATCTGTGAAGTGTTATAAACTTCTTATCTAAAATAATCAAGTTAAATAAGGATTTATATAACAGAAAATAATGTCAAAGTTAAATATAGTCTTTATTTTTCCAGATAATTTGATTTTATGAGTTTACTTCTCTTTCAATGCAGATTTTCTCATTCCTACATCATCACAATATAAATAATTTGCATTAATTCTGCCTAGAAAATACTGTATTTTATGACATAATTACTCAATTCAAACAAGGAATCAGGTATTAACATAAGAAATTGAATATTGCTCATGATTTGATTAACAAATATATAATTGCAGAGAATGCCTCTTTCCAGCTATCACTAATCAGGCTGTCTAGATTTTGAAGGTCAAAGGAAGAAAGTAATAGAAGTTAGCCAATCAGTCAACTCAGTAATGGTAGACACAAAGGTCAAATATAATTATAAAGTGGTGGGAAGGAAAACTAAGTGGATTCTTAATGTTTGATTCCTTATGGTTAGATTTTTAAAATATATATATATTCATCTATAAGATAAGTGTATTCATTAGTGGAAAAAAAAGATGTTATGTTCAATAGCTTAGCATTTGTGCTCACTAGTTGGTATGTGTGTCTCTACCCTGCGTTGGGGAAAAAGCTAAACTATATATACAAAGTAAATAAAATATGTTCAGAGATCACCAAGACGAAAGATGATATCAATGTAAGCTTAAAAACAAACAAATAGGCAAGCAAATAATATATCATTAACATATATATATTCCATTATGTATATTCCAAATATATACTAACAGCTCAGAATGTGCAGAGCACTCAGACAATGTTTTAAAGACAATAGGCTTCAGCTGGAGAGAGGAGAGCCCTTGCTTTTTGCTCTGTGCAAAGCATCTCAAAGTATGGTCCACTGACAAGGGCTGGTCTAAAGCCTGTCACTGCTCTGCTCAGAGAGCAGGAGACTATGAATGAGCACTTATGTTAATGATAAATTGAGAGAGCAATTTATTTTCTGATGACCCTAAAAATGCAAATTCATATTTGTATTTAATGTTTGTAATTCAATTTCTCTAGTGGTTAGCTTTAATTGTATTATATAAAAGTATCAGTCTATAAAGAATCAAGTTAAGAAAATCAAATGTACTATATTCTAAATCAATGACTCACAAATTACAGCCTATTGGCCAAAATTTGGCCGGCATATGAACATTTTCTTATAGTTTTATTAGGACATGGCATTGTAAAGGTATACATAGCATTTTAATAGTAAATCCCTATGAAATAAAACATTTTTGCCATTTAAATACTGAAATATTTTAATCTATTTTGAAATCATTATGGTTATATAAGAATTAGTCATATACATTCTGTATATAAAATTTTTCATATACCAATTTTCATATACCAAGTTTTCAATTTAAGATTGATTATATTCTTAGACAATGAAATACATAACATTGGCATCGTATATATAATTGATGCTTAAAAATCTGTGGAATAAACAAACAATAAGCTACTCCATGAAATAAAATAGAACACAGATACGTAAACTTTCCTGAAAGAGGTAGAATTTGGCAATAGATTGAGAAATCATCTTAAGATTCTTAACTTTATTGATAATTATGGTACAAGATTTCCTAATAAAATAGATACTGTATTTAAATATAAGATTTCAAAATATGTTTTCCCTTACTTAGCATCACTGGAAGTTTAAACCCTTCCTATTATTTACATCAGGTGATTTCAGGTTTAAATATAGTGTTTGTATATCACGATTGAGTGTGAACCAAAGTATTTAGTGGCTCAAAAAAAAATGGTCTTACTAAAAGTACCATAATTTTCTAGTTAATATATCTTTCAAGATATTTTTATCTGTTCTTTCTCTGTTTTTCTTCCTTGTCCTCACTTGGGACAGGGATTGACTTGAATTTGGTAATTTTTTGTCTGTTTTTTTTTTTTTTTTTTAACTCTTGAAGCCAGTGTCAAATTAATTGGCAAGCTTTTCCCATAGTAGTTGGGCAAAGGATTCTACTGAGTTTGTCTGACACTCAGAGCAATTAATAACAACTATAAACTATTCTAGAATTAAGAATTTTATAGAGCTGAATTAAATAAAACCCAAATAGTATACTGCCTGGCTATAATATCATAATATTATAACATCACACAATTAATGTCATTATCATCTAAAATATATATATGTGTATATATATATATATATATACATATATATATATACATATATCTATAATAAAATCAAAACAGAAAACACAATAAAACAAAAAAATAGGAAATATTATTTTTCAGCATCAGAATGTTTTGTTGAATGATTAATATTTATGTCCATACATTTTGTTTTCCTAATGTTTCTTAGAATAGTGTTCTTTCTGTTCTTTAGTCACTACATATGCAAATAGTAGCAAATTAAAACAATGAAAATGCAATAAAGTCTCAATAATTTATTTGTCCTATTCACTTATTTTTTTCATATTGCAGACTTTAAAAAATATACCTTAAGAAATACTTTATATAAAATGAAACACTCAGATATTAAATACGATGCAATCAGTCTTCATGAATGTATATCAAGCCAAAATACCTCACTATCCCAGAAATTATCCTCTTGGTGTTTCCTGCTCATTCCCATCACGTTTTTTAAATTTCATGTTACATGCATTAATTCAATAAGATAGGAAAAAGAGGGGCGCCTGGGTGGCTCAGTCGGTTAAGCGGCCGACTTGGGCTCAGGTCATGATCTCGCGGTCCCGGGCTCTGTGCTGACAGCTGGGAGCACGGACCTGTTTCAGATTCTGTGTCTCCCTCTCTCCGACCCTCCCCCGTTCATGCTCTGTCTCTCTCTGTCTCAAAAATAAATAAACATTAAAAAAAAAATTTAAAAAAAAAGATAGGAAAAAGAAATAAAAGACATAATGATTAAAAAGGGAGAAATAAAACTCTGAATTCTGAGATGTCATTGTATTCATGGAAAACCGAAGAAATTTACAAGAAAAGTATATGACACAATATTTGAATTTAGTAACATTTCAGAATGCAAAGTTAATATTAAATTAGGGGCACCTGGGTGCCCGGTCAGTTAAGCATCTGACTTCGGCTCAGGTCATGATCTCATATGTCATAAGTTCGAGCCCCTTGTTGGGCTTTGGGCTGACACCTCAAAGCCTGGAGCCTGCATCAGGTTCTGTCTCTCCCTCTATCTCGGCTCCTCCCCCGCTTGTCCCCCCAACCTCTATCCCTCAAAAAGAAATGAACATTAAAAAATATATTAAATTAAATTATATTTCTGTATGTTAACAAAACATTGAAGCTGACATTTAAAAATACTATTTAAAGTAGAATAAAAACTTTCAAATGCTAAAGTATAAATTTAAAAAACAAGTGCATAATTTTATAAACTCTAAGCTATAAATCTTTGATGATATAAATTGAAGAAGATTTAAATAACTATAGAAATATACCAGGCATACGGACTGAAAAGTTAGTATTATTAAGACGGCAATTCTACTGAAATTGATCTATGGATTTAATTTAATTTCCCAACATAACACTAAAATATTAGCTGTGGGCTTTTTATGGATGTCCCTTACCAAGTTAAAGAAACTTCCTTCTATTCGTAATTTGCTGAGATATTTAATAAAAAAAAAAATGGGTGTTTTAACCTTGTCATAGCTTTCTCTGCTTCCATTGAAATAGTCAAGTGATATTCTCTCTTAAGGTATTCATATTATAAAACATAATACTCTTTAAATGATAAACTATTCTTAGATTTTTTGATATGACTCTCACATGATAATGCTATTTTCCTTTTTCTAGAATAATAAAATTGATTTACTAAAGTTTCATAGCTTTTGCATCTATCTTCATAAGACACAGTGTTCTGGAATTTCCTTTCTTTCTGTCTTTTTCTTTCTGTCTCTTTCTTTCTTTCTTTCTTTCTTTCTTTCTTTCTTTCTTTTTCTTTCTTTTTATTTGTTTGGTAATACCATTGTCTGGCTTTGCTATCACAGTTGTGTATTCAGGAGAAACTATCCCTGCTTGCACCCTGATCTTGAACTTCCAGCTCCCAGTTTGTAGGAAATTAATTTCTGTTGTTTAGGCCATCCAGGCTATGGTATTTTTATGGCAATCATAGCAAACTGATATACCTGTGCTCTTAATTATTTTTTGACATTTTAATAAGCTAAAATTTATATTTAAATGATAATATGTCTTAGATACAGTTGCCAAGTTAATATTTGAGTATATCTTGACATTAGAGAACAAAAATGGAACACAGTCAGGTTAGGCATACTTATTATTCTCCTTATTTGTTTATTCTCAAGTAATCTTGGCTTCAGGAGTAGAATCCAGTGAGTCATCACTTATATACAACACCCAGTGCTCATCCCAACAAGTGCCCTCCTTAATGCCCATAACCCATTTTCCTCATCTCCCTACCCCCGCCCCCATCAACCCTCAGTTTGTTCTCTGTACTTAAGAGTCTCTTGTGATTTGCCTCCACCTCTGTTTTTATCTTATGTTTCCTTTCCTTCCCCTACAATCATCTGTTAAGTTTCTCAAATTCCAGATTTTCACAAGGATGCAGAGAAAGGGAAACCCTCTTGCATATAGGGTGGCAATGCAAACTGGTGCAGCCACTCTTGGAAACAGGGTGGAGGTTCTTCAAAAAGTTACAAATACAACCACCCTACAACCCAGCAATTGTACTACTAAGAGTTTATCCAAAGGATACAGGAGTGCAGATCTGAAGGGGCACATCTACCACAATGTTTTATAGTAGCACTATCAACAATAGTCAATTTATGGAAAGTGCCCACATGTCCATCAACTGATAAATGGATTAAGAAGATGTGGTATATATGTATATACAATGGAATACTACTCGGCAATGAAAAATAATGAAATCCTCCATTTGCAACAACATGTTTAGGCATACTTAAAGTGAAAACTCTAAATCAGTTTATATCCTCTAACTTAGTTAATTTTTAGCAGTGGTTTGAGATAGGTACTGTTATCATCCCCTTTTGAGAGTTGGAAAATGTGCACAACAATTAGTTTACTTAATAAATTTTATGCATCTATTAAATGACACATTTGGGATTTGAACTCCAGCAGTGTAACTCAGGGGCCATGTTCTTACCAAAATATTGTAGGACCTATTTATATACCAGCATTATAACTTCAGGTGAATTTTTTATTACCCCTGCTCTGGGTGCTTGTATTTGCCTACATACTTGAAAATCAACTCCAATGATCCTATTTTTTATTTGACTTATGGAACTATGGGTGTTCAGACTCTGTAGTTTGTTTGTTTTTTTCCAATATTATTCTCGCCCCTTGATCTATTTGTGGATTTATATTCCTGTTTTTTTTTTCCTTTTTCTGTGTTGGTCTTAATTTTTTTTTTTGCATTATATTCAAATTGAACTGACAATATTAAAACAAACAATAAAAGGAGCGCTAAAAACTTTCATATTTTAAGATATTAGAAAATAGCAATTATTGAAAATGAAGCTTGTAAACAATAGGCATCGATATTTATACATAATAAAGCAAGAAAGGAACTGGCAAAAAATCGAAAATGAAAACACAAATTGAGTATAAGATTTCATTTTGCAATTCTTTGAATATTTTAGAGTAACTTATGCATATATATTTTTATAGGACACAGATTCATATAACTAAAATTATTTAACTTTGAAGATATGCACATTTTTTATATTTAAATTGCCCTCCATAAGTTTCATATCAACATTTACTAGCAAATACGATTTAAGGAACTGCCTCTGACTTAAAAATTATCCCTGAGAGGATATGTTAAGTCTATCAAGATATAATTTCAGAAAACAAAGTTAGACAATAAGTATTAATATTAATTTATGTAATTAATGATTAACACTAATCATGCTGAATGTATTATGAAATATTGTGTTCCTCTTCTTTGATATTATTTTTTGTATAAAACTGTATTACAATTAAATTTCACCATAAGTCATAATTTTTAGCAATAAAAAGTAACACTGCTCTTACAAGTACTTTAAATGTAAATGGACTAAATTTTCCAATCAAAGGATGTAAAGTTTCTGAACGAATAAAAAAATAAGACCCTGCCTACAAGAATTT